CACCAGCACCACCACCACCAGCACCACCACCACCACCAGCACCACCACCACCACCAGCGCCGCCACCACCACCACCACCGCCACCACCACCACCACCACCACCACCAGCACCACCACCACCAGCACCAGCAGCAGCACCACCACCAGCAGCAGCACCACCACCACCAGCAGCAGCACCACCACCAGCAGCAGCAGCACCACCACCACCACCACCACCACCGCCGGTACTACAACAGACTACCACTACTACTGCTACTGCTTCTGCTTCTGCCCCTCCTGCTTCCGCACAGACTGCTACTGCTACGACGACTGCGGCGACGATGACGACGGCGACGACAACGAAGATGGTTACACCACCACCAGCATCACCGGCAGCACCGTTACAACAGCAAGAGCTTTTCGACTTCTTCTCCGTCAGCATCATCGTCATAAGAATTTTCACCGTAACATCTTCTTGCCAGCAGCTTGCCAATTGAACAACAACGTACCTCACAAATCACAGGCAGAACCACACACTTTGATTCTGTTATGGTCATTCGTGGTTAATTACCGGAGAAGGTCACCTCCGAAGCCAGCAGCACTAACAACAGCAGCTTTGAAACCTAGAAGTGTTTTCCGAGGTGGATCGCGTTCGCCAGCGCCAAGCGCAAGCTCGCCAGAGCGACCAACGCTGGGAGGACTTGCCAAAGGCCTGCAGACATGCAGCATTCCAGAATTAAGGGGTGTTTACTTGTAGGCGAAAGGCATCGAGGAGACCCTGCAACAATGAGGGCATGGCTCCATGTGCGCGGGGTTTCCAGGTGCTGATGGTGGCGGAGAAGCCCTCTGTGGCCAAACTGGTTGCCGAGCTCCTCGCCGCGAATGCAAAACCCAGCAAAGCTCACCGGGGGCCCACGGCGATAAAGTTTGGGGTGGTGTCTCTCCAGCTTCAAAACCCTGTTGCGGAAGATGCAGTTGCGCTCAGGGTCCTTTCAGTGCGTTTGGAATAGTGAATAGTGCTTTCCCAACATTGTATGCCACTGAAATGCTATGGCCTCGGTTCGACAACATGCCGAACAATTAGAAGATAAAACTGGTGACGATCAGGGTACGGAGGAAGATGATGTTCACCATGACCATAATCATTCTCGTGGTTGCCATGGATTCCACCGCCTCATCATCTTCCTTCTGCTTGTCTGAACCTTGAGAAGCAGAGACCCAGGAGCCTCTCCAATGGCCGCCTTCGCTTCCGCAAAGGACAGAGCCGAGCGGTGCAAATCTTCGAGTCGCCCAGCTGCGAAGGGCGACAACTTGTATGTTCACGTCCGGCATGCTGCAGGGCCTGAAAACTTCGGTGAGCTTAATCGCCCGGCAGCTTAGGTTTGTGACTTGGTTCCCGCCGGCACAACAGAAGTGCCGCATAATCCAGACCTCTACCATCGGGCATATCTTCGGGCTCGATTTCGAGGCCTCAGGAACATGCCACACGACTCGTAAACAAGACTGCTTGAAGCTAGCGTGCTTCATCGTTTCGTTCAAGGCTTCGGGAGCCGGTACCTACGCTGATCTTCCCAAGTCAGTGGCTACAGTCGATATTCACATTTCCCCAGTAGCAGGACGGTAGGCCCCCTGATCTGGCGGACCTCTTCTATGCCAACGTCAAGAAGACGGTGGAGGGGGCAGTAGCCAAGAATCGGATTGTTGAAGCTTGGAAAAACTTGGCAGGTCTTCCGCCGATAGTGAAGTCTTTAACTTCGCGGGGCAGTGGGAGCTGCTGCTGTTCCCACACCATGCGATCGGTTTTGGTTCGAACTGCTGTAGAAGTTTGAGACTTGCTAGAGTGTCGAAGTTGATGGGACCCAGGAACACATCCAAGAGCTTGCCAGTGAAGCCGAATACCTGGCGCTCTGGCTGGACTGTGACCGGGAGGGCGAGAACATTTGCTACGAGGCTTGAGGTAAGTCTGAGCCAGGCCGACAATACACATTAGGGCCAAGATCTGGTCAGGTGACGTCGCTCTGCAGCACCATTCCGGAGGAGATGCTTCTGTGGTTGCACCGTGCTGGTTTGGATTTCGCTCAAAGTTGAGCTAGTTTCAGACGGGTTATGATGACGGTTTATGTTCCCAGCCGGCGCAGGGTCTGAGCCTGGGTTCCAACATGCACTCAAATGCAGTTTTCGCGTGCGTTGACGATCGCATGAGGGCGTTTGTTCAGCCACGCATGCGAGGAGAACGTCTACCGTGCACATTTCTCGGCGCTGACGCAGCCGGAGATCAAGCACACCGGCTGAGAAGTAGCCGCACTGTACCCTTACTGCTTTCAAGTTTGATTCTTTTAGCTGCAGGCTCTATAATAGGAGCTGTGCTTTCAAGTTGGTCACAAGGACCGCTTTCAAGACGCTGGGGCGCCCGGACAAGCAGCTGGCTATGGCCGTGGATGCACGCCAGGAGCCGGCTTAGGCCCGGCAGGAACATCTGGCCTTCTCTTCGGTCCTTTCGGTCCCGCCTGATCCTGTGTGACAGCGTATTGGCAAATTGCAAACGAAGAGGAGCTCGACTTGAAGATTGGGGTGGCGTTCACGCGGCTCATGACCCGTACGTTTCTGAGCCTTCGGGAGCACACAGCATGAAAAGATTCCGGAGTCGACTTTGGGTTCTAGACTTGGGCTGCCGCCACCAAGGAATTACGCCAAGGAGAAGTTCCGAGTCTGGGATCAGACCTGCCTGAGCTACGGCCCCTGCCAGACTCCCACACTTTGGTTCTGCGTGGAGAGGCACAAGGACGCCACGAATCCTCGAAACACAGGCTCCCGAAATTCTACAGTAACCTGTTCCCTTCAGTACCCGGGTCAGCCCCCCAATTCCAACAGTTCTCCATGAGCGCGGTGGAAGGAGATCGAGCAGTTCCAGCGCCAGGACATTTTCACCCCCACGGTGACTGCCGCGGGCTGAGCAATCTTCACAGCTTGGGGCTTCGAGCTGTTGTCGGCTCGTATCAACCCACTCAAATCGAAGCTATCCAAGTTTCTGAGCAGTAGTAGAAGGCCTGCCGCAAGCCACAGCGCATTGTGCGTAAGCGCGATGGCTGCAGCCGCCAATTCATGTTGCAAAGGTTTTCCAGCCATAGCCGCTGTGCCGCGTGCACTATTGATGTTCATATCCGACCGCAAGAGTGCATTCGAGAACTAACGTGCCGGTGAGAAAGGTCAACATTGAAGACTACCCTGTCGAGCTCAGCTGGGAAGAGGCCTGAGATAGGTGGTTGTGAGAGGCTCCAACGTGCTGTTCACACGCGCCGCACACAGGCCGACTGCATCGGTATTTGCGGTGTTTCGTGGACTTTGCAGCTGAAAACGCTCCGCCTCTCGTGTGTTCTGGGGGGAGCATGCCAACCATGATAACGTCCAGACAAACTCCGTCCGTTCCCACAGAGCATCCATGTGCCAACCATGATAACGTCCAGACAAACTCCATCCGTTCCCACAGAGCATCCATGTGCCAACCATGATAACGTCCAGACA